TATTTATTTATTTATTTATTCCGCGAGCTGCTGGAGTTCGGAGAGAATTATTTCACACACACATCTCTCTCTCTCTCTCTCTCTCTCTCTCTCTCTCTCTCACACACACACTCTCACACACACACATTTCTGGCTGCGGTGTGTGTTTGTGATCCTGTACAGTGCAACATGTTGCTGCGCAGTACATGCGCAAAGCTGCGAGACACCGCGGTGCGCGCGGTCTATCTTCTTCTCATCTCTCCCTCCATCTCTCTCTCCCTCCATCTCTCTCTCTCTCCATCTCTCTCTCCGCCTCTCCCTTCCCTCTTTCATCTGCCCAATTTCTCAATATCTCTCCCACTCTGCTGCCTCGCCTCTCCTCCTCCTCCTCTGTGTGTGTGTGTGTGTGTGTCTCTGTCTGTCTTTCGCTCTTGATATCTACAACTGTCTCACGTCTCCTAATCCCGCCTTCTTTTCAGACTCTTCCTTGTCTTCCGTCTCTCCAGCTCTCCGCATGCATGTTTAATTTCATGCGTTTCTCTCCATCTTTCTGTCTTTCTATCCTTCTTAATCTCTCCATTATTCTCTCTCTCTCTCTCTCTCTCTCTCTCTCTCTCTCTCTCTCTCTCTCGCCGACTCTGCCTCCTCCTCCTCTCCTTCTTTTTCTTTCTGTATTCTTTTCGTCTCTATCTTCAATTCTTCCTCTATCTTTCACTATCCTTCATCTCTCCATTTCTCGATAGCTGTCTCCCAGTGTGCCTCCCCGAATCTGCGCGCTCTCTCTCACTCTGTCTCTCTCTCTCTCTCTCTCTCTCTCCCTCCCTCCCTCCATCTGTCTCTCTCTCTCTCTGCCTTTCACTCCTGATATCTTCTCCAGATCCCACCTTCTCTTCAATCTCTCTTGTCATCTCTCTCCAGTTCTTTTTTTCACATTCTTGCCCTCATTCTTTTTTTCATTTCTCGCTCGTCTCTCTCTCTCTCTCTTTTCCTTTCTCTGTCTGTCTTTTCTCGGTTTTTCCTCTGTCTGTCTCTTTGCATATTTTTCCTTCTCTCTTCCTCTCTCCATCTTTCTCTTTCTGTCACTAACCCTCTCCGTCTTTCTCTCTTTCCTCTGTCTTTCTGTTTGTCTCCTTCTTCCTTCTGCGCTATCTCTCTCTCTCTCTCTCTCTCTCTCTTCTCTCATCTAATCCTCTGATCCCTCCTCTTTTTCTGTCTATCTCTCTCTCTATCTCCTTCTCATCTATCTTTCTCCCTCTCCCTCACCTCTGTTCACTCTACTTTCTCTTTTTCTTCCCGTCACCATCCTTCTTTTTTCATCTCTTGTTCACCCCTTCTCTCTTTCAATTTCTCTCTTTCTCAGTCTCTTTCCTTCTTCTTGTTCTTTCTCTCTCTCATCTTTCAATCTCTCCCTCCACCTCACTCTTGATCCCTTTTCCCTCCCTGTTTCTCCGGTAATCACTCCATCTCTCTGGCATTCTCTTTGATATAAGGGAATAGTCCCTCTCGCTTCATTTCACATCACTCCATCTTCCGCTCTTGATTGCTCTCCTTCTCCATCACTCTTTCTCAGGGTCTCCATGTCCATTTCTTTTTTTGATCCCGCTATTTATCTTGTCTTCTCTATAACCATATCTCTGCATCTTCTTCTCCTGATTTCACTCCTTCCTCGTCTCTTTGTCTCATCTTTTCTTCATTTCTCTATTTCTCCTTCTGTCTCTGTCCTGTCAATTATCTCCACAATTTTTTTTGCATCTCTTGCTTTTTCCCACCCTTTCCATCTGTCTGTCTTCCTCTCTTGACTTCATCATTTATCACTGCGTCCATCTCCCTTTCATTCATCTCTCCATCTCTCGCTCTCTTTCTTTATAGTTCTCTCTTTCAGCCTCCCTCTCTTCCTCTCTCACTTTCTTGTCATCTGGCCATCTCCATCCTTCTAATCCCTCTCCTGACATCTTCCTCGGTCTTGCCGTCTCTCCTTCTTTTTATTTTCTCAGCCTTTCTTTTCTCTCTTGCTCTTTCCTTCTTTCTCCATCCTAATATCCCTCTCTCACCATATCCCTTTTGAATTCACATCTCTACCTCTCTCTTCCTCAACCTCTGTCGTCTCTTTATTTCTCTCGCTTCTCCATTTCTTTCTGAATCTCTCCATTTCCCCATCCATCTTATATCTTCCTCTGTCTTATCTTGTCTTCTGCCCCTCTCTCTTTATACATCTGTCTCACCAGCTCTTTCAGTTCACATCGCAACCTCTCTATCTCCCAGTTTCTCACTCTCTTTCTCAGCCTCCATCATCCCTTCTTTTTTGATCTTTCCCTTTTCTTTCCTCCTTCTTTATCCTGTACACTCTCTATCTTCTCTTGCTCCCTCTTTCTGTCTTTCTAACTTTTGTCTCCATCTTTGTCTTTCTCCCATTTGATCTGTCTTATTGTCTCTCTATCTTTGCATCTCTCTTCTTCCTTCTCTCTCTTTCTCTCTCTCTCTCTGTCATTATATCTTGGTATCTCCCTCTGTCTCAACAACTCTTGATTTCTCACCTTAGCATTCTTTCTTTTTCTCACCCCCTCCTTTTAATCTCTCTCTCTCTCAATCATCATTTTCTCACACCCTCTATCCTTGTCTCTCTCTCTCTCTCCGTCTCTCCCACTGAGAGAAAATAAACCCATTATTCATGGTGAGCGCAGCAGCTCTCTCCTCATTTAGTTTCATATTCAGGAGGATTATAGATATCATAGATATCATTATTCTGATAGTTTAAAATGACCTTTTCATAGACAGCATGGACAATGTGACTGTACAGTAAAATCATATTTTTATTTATTTGCTTTGAAGCATTTCATAGTGCACCGTGAGTGTCGTGTGTATTTGGGTTACACTTTGTTATTGGCTCCAAAATAATTTGGGCTGTATGGAAAAATAGATTTTTAAAAGAAAAAGAAGAAGAAGAAAAAAAAAAAGTAAGCCTTATGCTAATCTCATACTCATGAATATTCAAAACCGAAATAAGCAGCAGGGGTGTCCCAATCCCATTCCGTTCTATTTATTTCGAGTTTTGATTCTGATAGAAGGTGAGGTCTATCATGGCTTATGATATTATCCCAGGACACTCGATGCTCCCTGAAGCTTGTCCAAAACGAGGAACTATTTTTTGAGACGTATGTAAGCCACTTAATCGGCCTCTTGCTGAACGGAACAAAGTACAGATATCCAGTTTATGTCGCGTGTTGATTTACACCACTCTGATTGGTCAGAAGGTCCAACTGCTAATCACAAGTCGTTCTAATACGTTATGGTTTCTATAGTAACAACTCCTTCGCGGGGACTTGTACAGCGGTTGCTCGACATCTAAGACTAATGGTAAACTGATTAAAAATGTTATTTGACATATAAGATGACGTATACTCGTTGAGTTGTTTATTAACTTGGAGAGAGAAAAAGGAGAGACGGTGAGGGAATTGCTGTTTATAGCTCCAATAGCGTTCCATAACATTCATTTTAACTATGTTCAGCTTGTTTCTATGACATTAAAAAGACCTGAGCATGACCTCTGGAGTGTGAATACGATATTAGCCGCTTCAGACACTTCGTGCATCATAAGGACCATCACATGACGTTAACTGGTAGATGGAACAGGAAAGAACATCTACTACTTGGGTGTTGGAGACCTACAGTGTTGGTATTGTTGGCCAATTGCTGTTGTATAAGAGGAATAAAACGATTGAGGACTTGTTATTGGAAAATAATCAACATCAGGGTGGTAACAGTAACCTCACTGATTCACATCACATTATTGTTTGGATTTCCGAGTTGTAAGACATGGGAGAAATACCTACAATGCTCAAGTTTTTTATTTATTTATTTTTTTTTTACGTTAAGCCTTGTAACTTTCCCGCGTAACGAGTTAGGACAACTTGCGTCTTATATTTTACCGTAGGTACAATGTTCTACGTGTCGCATCGACCAGAAAATCGACAGTTAGGCTCATGATTATTACGTCAGACCAGGGGTGTCCGATTTTATCTGGAAAGGTCCGGTGTGGGGGGACCTTGAAAGACAAGATCAACTGATTAAACAGGTGGATTAAATGAGGTGTGGCTCCTGCTTGGTTGTAATGAAAACCTGCACCCACACCGGCCCTTTTGCCGATAAGATCGGACACCCCTGCGTTAGACTAAACGTCATGTTATAGGACATCCAGAATGTTCTGGACGTGGAATAAAGAACCGATTCCCTCCGCTCCAGGCCTGGCGTGGCGCAGGATGGGCCGTCTCCTGGGAGTGAGCTGCATGCTCCTGCTCGCCCTGACCGCCTCCGTGTCTTCAGCCTCCCTCGTTCCCGAGGACTACGCAGCCGACGAGGCCGAGCACAACACCAACGACGTGCTGTTCGACGACTACCGCGGCAAAGGCTGCGTGGACGACAGCGGCTTCGTCTACAAGCTCGGCGAGCGCTTCTTCCCCGGCCATTCGAACTGCCCGTGTGTATGCACCGAGGATGGACCCGTGTGCGACCAGCCCGAGTGCCCCAAAATCCACCCCAAGTGCACCAAGGTGGAGCACAACGGCTGCTGCCCCGAGTGCAAGGAGCTCAAGAACTTTTGCGAGTACAGGAGCAAGACGTACAAAATACTGGAGGAGTTCAAGGTGAGATGCTGGAAGTTGGTTATTTTCATTCTTGTTGTCTGTTAATGCGGAGCGTGTGGTTCCAAAATGCTTCCTTTTTTAAAAAATATTTTATTTAAATTGATGTATTTACTCCTTATGTCATCTGTGTTTACAATCTGTTTAAAATGACCAATGCATTGTAATGGTGACCGACATGTAGTAGTAGTAATAAGCTCCATGTATATAATGATAATGAGTCTTTATTGGTCACATATACAGTAGGGCACAGTGAAATTTTCTTCGCATACTGTACCTCAGCATGTCAGGAATCTGGCATCAGAGTGCAGGGTCAGCCATGATACAGTGCCCCTGGAGCAGAGAGGGTTAAGGGCCATGCTCAAGGGCCCAACAGTGGCAGCTTGGCAGTGCTGGGGCTTGAACCCCCACGACCTTATGATCAGTAACCCAGAGCCTTAACCACTAAGCCACCACTGCCCCTCAATCCACAGCAATCTAACACTGAATATTGCAGGTACAGGAAATATTAAAATGGCATTCCACAGATTTGGGACTATGGCCAATATTGATGTCAGTCTGTTCTGTTGGTACTACCAGCAAACCAGAACTGGTGGACCTGAGAGTAGCAGCTCGGGGGGGGATACGGCGGGGCAAGGCTTATCAGCACAGAGCTATGGGGTTGTTTATTTGTTGATAAAAGCAGTACATGACTACAGCTCAGCTCTTATCACACCTGTTTCTGTGAAAATTTCCGGTCCGTATCTAGTCCCCCGCCAGAGTAAAACTGAATATTTTTTTTTTTTCAGGAATTACACTTTCTTGCCCCCCTAAAAAAATAATGAGAAAACCTGAAATGTTCTGAACACACACTATATGCTTACCTAGGTACCCCCTAAAAAATTTAAGGCTGAGACTCGAACCCTTCCGGTTATAAATTGTCCCACAATGTGGAACTGCGAGCAATATTGATTATTATATTTGGACTGAAGTTCTAAGTCTAAGGAACATGAATATGCAAAATATTTATATATGGTCATGTACCTTGTAATGTGCTCCAAAGGTCGGTTTTTGTTCCAAGGAGCTCGGACCGTCCTGATCCGAGATAGCGAGCTTTCCGTAAACAGCTGTATAACAGAAATGTGTGCGCCATGACACAAAGCAAACCGAGTAAAATAATCATTTTCAAATAATCATTTTCAAATAATCATTGCAGTTATCGGACCACTTGAGATAACATGACCCGAGTCAAAATTAGAGATTCTTAAAGCATGAACCAGGGTTTCAGCATCTTTCGAACTAACCGTTGTCCAATTCAGGCAGTGTTGAGCTTAAAAAAGAAGTGATTTTCGTGTATGACCTTATCTTGAATTCAAATATGTATTTATTTTTAAAGATTATGTCTTGATTTATGAACTTTTGTAGAATGTTTAAGGACGACTCCATCGATAGCAACTAAGAATTCTGGAGTTTTTCGTGGAGACGAGTAAGATTTCTGGTTGGTCGGGGTTAAAAACATTGGTGTCCATCCATGATTTAGCATTATGAAGAGGTGGGAGGAAGAGCTGTGGTGAATCTTGTTGAACTGAGATAAATGCGAGTGTCATCTGCATAGCACTTGGATGCGAAGACCTCTTTTCTGAACGATCTGGCGAAGGGAAATATGGTTAAAAGAAGGAGACCGAGGACGGTGGCAGGCCGAGGGGTTGTTTTTTTCAGCTGTTATAAAGTCGTACCTGTCTTAAACTTGAAGCGCAAGCCAAGCATGGGTCAGGCCACGAAATACTGATCAAGGAAATGCAGAATGTCAAAAAGTGTCCAAATCTGCTCTGAGATCTGACAGAATAAGAATAAAGAGGGCATCGGCAGAATGGAGATCGTTACTGTCTCTTAGAAGAGCATGCTCAGTACAATGAAGGGCAGGAAGCTGAGTGAAAAGGTTCAAAGAGAGTGTTGGTGTTGAGATTCTGGTTAATTCCCACATACCGAACATGCCAGTAGGTGGATTAGTGATTGTGTGTGAATGTGCGTCTGTGGTAACTGGTGTCCCATTCATGGTGTAATTCTGCCACACACTCGGTGTTTGTGTGATTTGTGCTCCAGATCCACCGCAACCCTGAAGCAGGTACTGAAGATAAATGAATGAATATGCCTATACAACCCGATTCAAAACCGAAGAAGCTTTATCTGCGTACATCCAGGCACAATGTGAAACACAATGTGAAAATGACCTCCAGCTCCATTAAGACTCGACACTTAAAATGAATGGCATTGATCAATCTGCACGGAACCACTAAGGAACTTGTGAATGGGGGGGATGGGGCAATCTCAGAGTTTTTATTCATTAAAAATAGACATTAGTTCATAGTTAAGCTTGATGCAGATCCTGAAAATGGTCCAGACGCTTTAGCCCAGCGGTCCCCAACCTTTTTTGCGCCACGGACCGGTTTAATATCAGATAATATTTTCACGGACCGGCCTTCAAGGTGTGGCGGATAAATACAACAAAATAAAATCATACGACCGGCATAAAAACTGGTGTATTTTTTAAAATATAATAATAAACGTGAATCCAATGTGAAATCGCAGCTTTATTAGCAGCGTCCTGGTAACATCACGCCAACAACGCAGCATGAGTAACTTCCGCTCTGCCCCTGAACGTATCACGTGACCAAGTAACTTGCGTCAAGAGCGAGTCGTAGACGGATGTGAGAGAATCCAGTCATTTTTCAAAATAAAACATCATTCAGACGCCGATAATAAATAAAACGGAAATAATGCAAGGTATATGTTCTTTTTGTGCGGCCCGGTACCCGGTACCAAATGACAGGGGTTGGTGACCCCTGCTTTAGCCTACCCGTTTAAATCGAGTACACATGGGAGTGTGGTGTATGTGCCACGTGACTCGGGAAAACGTGACGCGGTAAATGAACTCCTACGTCGTCGACTACACTTGCAGCGTGCCAACGTGCGATTCCCATCTAAAGCTCATCCATCACCATAAAAAGCACTATCAGGTCCGTGCAACGAGCAGCAATCCACCTGACGAGGTAATCCATTTGATTTCTGCGTGCATCGGTGAGCATATTTCTCCTTGTTTGAAATTTAGCTTGTCTGTATCGATTTCATCGAGATGGCAAGCCTATCAATCACGCACAGAAACACTCTGCATGTCTAAAGAGTCCTGTCAGTCTCGAACAGACGCCTCAGCATTCGGAGTACGGTTTCGATGAGCAGTTTTCCAGCGCGCCAGAAACTCTTCAGAAGTCCATGTTCGTGCATTAACGCCCTGTGAACGAATCCCCCTTCTACTCCGCAGGACTCGTCAATAACACCTCCATCTTCGTGTTGCCGGAAATCAAAGAGCCATGTTCGGAGCGTGCAACTGGAGTCCCAAAGTTCCACCGATATTTACGCGGGGGAAGTTTCACGTCTTCAGAGTTGAGTTACGCGCTTGCTTAGGTTGATTTTTCGGAGCTCGTGCATGTCGTTCCCGAGACCCCAGGAAGGGTCGAACTAAACCGGAAACTGGTCACAAGCACATATTGTGTAACATAGAAGAGATGAGCAGATGCAGGATGCAGTTTGAACATAAAATAATCAAATAAACCGTATCGGTGTTTACAGGTGTGAATGTGTGGTCCATGCTGATATTAGGTCTTGCAAATGTGTACATACTCCCATGTGGAAGATGTAGAATGTTTATAGAAGCCTTGAACCTTTGTCCATGTGCTTTGTCGTTTTAATTGAATTTGATGTACCAAGTCATTATTCTGATTTTAGATCTCTTTGTTACTAAGTAAAAAATAACGATATCTTGAAATAACACGTTACTTAAGTCAATGCTAAGTCGAAATAGCGAAAAATTAAGTCTTGACGTGTTAGTCTTAGTTAGTACTGACTTAGCAAGTCAAAACGAGATCCTCGGTCAAAAGAATTCAATACTATGCCACAATAATGACTTAATATCTCGTTACTTTGCCCTGCTAAGTTAAAGTAATGAGGTAGTACATCAAAAGAATGAAATACAAAGTCAATTTAACAACTTAGTACATCGTAACCATTTACGAAGTCATAATGATGAGATACAAAGTCAGAAAAATACAATGTGAAGTCAAATTAATGAGATACTAATTGAAAATAACAATTTAGTAAGTCGAAATAATGAGATAGTAGGTCAGGATAATGACTTAGTAAGTCAACGTAATGAAATGAGTCAAAATAACAATGTAGTGGATCAAAACGAGGTACTAAATCAACATGGTGCAGTACTATGCCACAGTAATGGCTTAATATCTCGTTACTTTGACTTACTGAGTCAAAATAACAACTTAGTAAATGAAAATAACGACCTATTAAAAAAGACGAAATTTCACACCTTGCAGTTCAGGACTTCTGTATTTTTTTTCGTGGAATAGCCATTTACACCGGCTACGTTAGACTGCTGATGGATTGTGAAAGCTTTCTTTTTTTTTTTTTTTTTCATCCATACGATCAAATCCCAGACTTTTGACCCTTTTATTATGCATCCTATGAGCTCAAGATCCAATTTGAGACCTCAACAGTGTACCACTAGTGGCGTCTCTGGAAAGGATGTTCTGCATACCGAATCTCCGACACCCAAGCTGGAATGTGGTTGTAAGAAGGAATCAGTGGATCAGCTGCGGGAAGGAGCGACGCTTGACGCACATCAGCGATCACTAGCTCGTGTTTCGACAGACTTAATCCAACACTCGAAGATGATCACTTTATATGATTAACCGCTCTAGATCAGCTCTATTAGATTACAGCTGGAACGATGATGTGTCATTCTTTAATAAAAATAGAACTGCGATAGTGTTGGCGAACTGCCGTGATGGATGAGGAATTAAACATTTCAGAACATGCGGTTGTAGGAAAATAATCCGATCTGGAGTGGGAGCGGTGGCTCTGCTTCATCACACCACCCTGTTGTTGATTATTTTCCCATAGCAGCATGACACAGGGTCTTTATGTTAATCTTATACACTGATTTAACCGTTTATCTCATGGGAAGTTCGTACAAATTGGAACAAACACAGGCCCCGTCCAAAACGGCGCACTTCAAGTGGACTTGCGGTCTCGTGACCTTCGGTTGCACGTTCTCGCCGAGTCTACGAGTCCGTAGTGTGTCCCATTTGTGATTTTAACGCTTGAGGGTTCTCGCGAACGCCCCCTTTCCGCCCTCACGGCAGTCCGCTACCCAACAGCCCTTGCGACAGACCAATCAGAATGCAGAGGAGGAGTTTCGATCGCAGGTTTTAGCCGGAATGACTGAGAAGAGGATTATTCAGTGCAAGTTTTCGTTATAATGAACAAGGATTTACAGTGTAATTGAACTGTGGATTTAGCTTTTAATAATATTTCATTATATAGCTTGATGAATTAAAAAAAAATTGTAGTCAATTAACATGGAATGGAACTTCAGGCTATGACCGTTGTCGACGGTTATCTGATAAAAAT